GCAAACCAGTTACAAAATGACTACATGTGCACAGTCCAATGCAGCAATCGTTGGCCACACATGGTGACCAAGCTCTCACATGTGGCTGACCCAAAACGGACATGCTGCAAGTGTAAAATACATGCTGGATTTTGAAGACTGTAAAAATAAAACATAAAATATATCACTGGTAATTTTTATAGATTAGATGTTGAAATGATAACATTTTGGGAATCTATTTCACCTGAAAAACTTTACTTTCCTTTTTTAAAATGACTTCTAGAAAATTTAATTATAGGGGGTCAGCGCTGTGGCTCACTTGGTTAATCCTCCACCTGCAGCGCCAGCATCCCACGTGGGCGCCGGGTTCTAGTCCTGGCTACTCCTCTTCCAGGCAGCTCTCTGCTGTGGCCCGGGAGTGCAGTGGAGGATGGCCCAGGTACATGGGCCCCAGCACCCGCATGGGAGACCAGGAAGAAGCACCAGGCTCCTGGCTTTGGATCAGCACAGCGCCAGCCGTAGTGGCCATTTGGGGAGTGAACCAACGCAAGGAAGACCTTTCTCCCTGTCTCTCTCTCTCACTGTCTACATCTCTACCTGTCAAATAAATAAAAATAAAATTTTTTAAAAAATTTATAAACACAGCTTATATTATAGTTCTTTAAAGAGCAATGGTCTATACTATTATAATAGCGTAGCTGTAAAGAACCTAACAGATCCACATGTATCCCTTTGCAGATTTATAAAGTCTCAAAGAGGTTAAAGAAACAGCCAAGGGTCACATCATCCATCTCCATCTCCACCTCCAATAAAATTATTAGGAGATATATCACTCTGCGTTCTTACACTGTTTAATGACATGCAAGTAAAGTCCAAGAACTTTTTTTCCAACATAATGCAAAATTTTTTATATGTTAAATAATATTTTGTATGCTTACACAAAATGGTTAAGAATTAACAAATCCACCATGAAGAATATTCCATTTCTGATTCCTCTTTGAGCCTTGTCACTAAACCAGCAGAATTCTGACAGCTTCTACAGTGCTAGGTAAGCTCACTAAGGGCTGAATACCTTATGTCAAATATATACCTGACACTCTTGAGAATTATACTCCATTGCCAAAATTCAGCAGTTTTTCTTTTTCTTTTTCCTTTTTTTTAAAATTTATTTGACAGGTAGAGTTATAGACCATGAGAGAGACAGGGAGAAAGGTCTTCCTTCCTCTGGTTCACTCCCCAAGTGGCCTCTACAGCCAGCGCTGCGCTGATCCGAAGCCAGGAGCCAAGTGCTTCCTCTTGGTCTCCATGCGGATACAGAGGCCCAAACACTTGGTTCATCCTCCACTGCCCTCCCGGGCCACAGCAGAGAGCTGGACTGGAAGAGGAGCAGCCGGGACTAGAACCCAGCGCCCACATGGTATGCCAGCGCTGCAGGCGGAGGATTAACCAAGTGAGCCAGCCCCAGCAGTTTTTCTTCATGGATAAATCAGGGTGCTTCTTTATAGAAATTCTGTCTCCACTCAAAATTTAAAGTTTCATATTCTAAACTAATAAAACAAAATGTTAACCACAACAATGATAAACATTTCATAAGCCCCAATGTTTTTCACACCTTATTTTAGCAAGGTAAAATATAACCAAGGTTTACATAAGGGACAAGATAATCCAAATTTTGATTCTGAGTGATTGGATGGCGGATGTTACAACTGGCAATAATAAATAGTTTAGAAGTATGCTCCAGCTCTCAAGTACATTATCTACTGTTATCTTAGGGATTCTGTTGCAAGTGACTCCGGGAGTCTAAAGTGTAACCAACTAGTGTGTTTGTGAGTCACATGGAGGACGTCTCAAAAGCACAAAATATGGCAGAGTGTTGCCTACACATATCTGCTGCGGAGAGAAAAGAGAGAAGAAAGGAGGCAGAATGAGGAAGAGAAGGAGAGGAGAAACGGGATACTCCGTGGAGATGGGGAGTTTGGGGTGTTGCAGCACTCAATGATGAATAAACTGGGTACTGATGTGGCATTGTTAAGACAAACCAGGAAGTCAAGATGACAGGCATATCCTGCTTTGACTGCTACTGAGAATCAGAGAAGAGGTGTGAATGGGGTGTGAAGTTATACGGGAAGGCAAGCAGATTTATAAAATAAGGAAGATGATGCTAGTCAAGAGCCACAGTGAAGTTGAGCCGGGAAGAACACAGTAAGTACCTCTACCCCCAGAGGGTTTGTTTTAGGTGTAATTTCTTAATAAAGAAGTTGGGAAATGTACACAGTATCGGGGCTCAGAAAATGGTGCTTCAAAGTGTGGCACTTGACAAAGAGGGTACTTTAAACTAAAGAACATTTGGAAGGGGCTCAGATGCGAAGCTTCTCTTTGACCTTCTCCTGCCTCTTACACTCCCCCAAAGTGAATCATAGGAACCAGAACTCCTCTGTTCCCAGGTGAGTCATGGAAGCCAGATTGCCTTATTTTTCCCCAAAACCAGTCCTAAAGCTAGAATTATTACCAAAACTTCTACCAGGTCCATAAAGCAATTTCCTGACCTACCTTGTCTGATACAAATCACAAGACCCTCATTCCAGAAGGTCCTGCCCTACATCATGGAGGAAGAAATACTACACAGAGGGGCACCAAGAATCTGAACAGCCTACCCCTGCTGGGTTTCCTTCAGTCTATCAGTGTTAGTCCACATGCTTTTTATACATCTACGTTTCTACATGGCTGTCAATCCCTCATCAAACCTAAGCACACAGGGGCTGGTGCCATGGCACAGTAGCTTAACCCTCTGCCTGCAGCACCCGCATCCCATATTGGCACTGGTTCTAGTTCCAGCTGCTCTTCTGATCCAGCTCTCTGCTGTGGCCTGGGAAAGCAGTAGAAGATGGCCCAAGTCCTTGGGCCCCTGCACCCGCATGGGAGATCAGGAAGAAGCTCCTGGCCCCTGACTTCAGATCGGCACAGCTCTGGCCATAGTGGCCATTTGGGGAGTGAACCAACGGAAGGAAGACCTGTCTCTCTGTCTCTCCCTCTCACTGTCTGTAACTCTACCTCTCAAATAAATAAAACCTTAAAAAAAAAAAAAAAACTAAGCACACAAACCATTTTCCTGGAGTCTTTGAAGCCTCACTCTGAAGGCCCCCGTGTCACACGAAACTGTGCTTAACAAATACATTGTACTTTTCTCTGGTCAGCCTCCTTTTTGTTATATCAGTGTCTGCTGGGACTCTCACAATGGGGAGGAAAGATAACCACACCCTTCTTGCCTCTACATAGCAGGTCACTCATGTGTGACCCTAGAACACTATAAACAATTGAAGTTTAATTGGTATTATGGGAGAAAATTTTCATGCCAAATGCTTTTTGGAAAACTCTAGGTTAAACAAAATTAAATAGGTTTACCTTCTTTGCTATAAGACTTAAACCATGAATTTATAAGCTAACTGTTTGTATTGTGAATTTTGAAGAATGCTAAACACTCAACTGAGTATTTTCCACACTGAAAAAATGTTATTTTTTTTAGCTGAGTATCTTGAGGGACCAAAGAAATTGTTCTACCTCATTCCAGTCACAACTATTACCACTGGACGTGTATTCAATACTGTATCACTTATGTGCTATAAGAGATTGCATTGCCACTTTTAATAAAATATTCTAATTAGAGAAATTAAGAAAAAATAATTCAATATATAATCCTAGATCCTGTGAAATAAAATTGAAACAAGAAGAAAAACACACTGGTCAACACAATCTAAATGTCATGAATCTCAATTCCTCACTCTGCTAAATATATCAGAATAAACAGAAGCCAAATGGGGAAACAGGTGAGACATCACAAATAAAGGAAAATAGATCCATGATATTAAATTTTAGCCCAACTCTATCTTTTCTTCAAAAATGAATACAAATAGGACCAATTAGTAATCTTTAAAGCAAGCTAACAGTTGTCAATAGCAGGAGTTTTAGTTTCACTAGAAAAAAATGCAATAATTCAAATGTGTCTACTTCTTTCTCCTTACCAACTGTGCCCAATTACTAAGAATAAATTTAAATAGGTTTGTTAGGTAGGAAGTTAGAAATCAGCCTGTGTGTAGGAGAGGGGCATGAGAGGAATGCAACATCTACAGAAATGCAACTGGGAAGCAGCCCAGTATTTGCACTTCCAAGTCCTGCCCAGACCCTGATAACTCTCCAGGTGGTCCCAGCCCTTCCCCAGGGAAAGCTCCCCAAGACAATCCTCTCTACTCAGCACCAAATCAGCTACCTGGCCTGACAACACGGAGCAATAAACCATTACATCCTTCCTCCCAGGCAGGCACCCTAGGCCTAGGGCCTTAAGGCTCCCCCAGTCTGATAACACCCAGTGGTGTACCTAGGGAGGGATATTCCTAATTTATACTTAGCAAACCCTTTTCTTGGAGAAGAGAGAGGGGGGAAAGAGAGACGGTAGGAAGACTCCCTTTAAAAACCAGGAGCCTGAACCAAGACTGCTCAGCTCTCCGCTCTCCACTGCCAGGTATATTCTCTCCATTTATCCTTGTAACCTTGCTTTCCCCCAGTCTGAGTGACTGGGCGCTCTCTCTCTCTCTCTCTGTCCCTTTGGTTCTGATGGATGCCCTGTCCCCAGTAAACCTTGCTACTGTGCTCTCTGTCACACACCTGAATTCTTCCTTGCACAAAGACAAGAACCCCACCACTCATCTCCGCTAACAGGTTCATATATATTTTTAAAAGAATTTAACTATCTAAATGTTCATTTTAATAATTTTACCAAAGCTATACCTCATGGAACAGAAAAGAATATAGCTGCAAAAATAATTCAAGGTTTAGACAGATTACATGTGTCTCCACGAAAATAATAAAAAGATGCCTTCTGACCCCAAGGGGCTACGATTCACATGAAGGAGACATGCATTTGAAGTGACTGGAAAGACTCGAAATGAAAAAGAATTGTCACAGGAAAACAATAGGAAAGTTTTAAGAAAAAAGGGAGGGAACTGGAATTTCTTTCAAGGACCTACCGTTCCATCTCCACCACAAGCCAGAATCCGAAGATTTGGTACTTTCCTGTACAACTCAAGCCTGTGAAGGAAACAGAGAAAAAGATTAAGCGAACGAACACACTCCTCCTGCCTGCTGTGGAAAGAAAACAGGACGAAATAGGTGGGAGTTGTGTCCACTGGAGAAAATGTGTCATCATGACCCCAACAACTGGAACCAAGTAAAGCAGCAAATGCTGTTGTGAGATGGTCCACATTGGAATGAGATTTTAAGGGATCTAAGAGTTTTATTTCCCATACTTCTGATTATTTTAACTCACATTATTTTTTTCATTAATTTTGACTTCTCTCATTCTATTTTTTTTCCATCACCTTCCTTCTCCTTGCTCAAAGCTCATCATTGACTGGTAATCAATTATCCTTATAAGTCTCTTCCTCCGATTTATTAGGTTTTCCTGGGTCTATCTATTTTTTCAAGTCTAAACTTCCCACTCTTACTCCTAGGCCATCTTTTGCAGAGAAATGAGGAGGATTCCCCACTATCATTACTACCATACACACAATTCATCTCTCAACTCACTCTCATGCACCCCTACTACACTCCAGCCAAAAATGGGAACGTCGATGTTCTTGACTTTGAATTTGTCGCTCCCCGTCTTCGTGGAGGAACGACACAGGACCCTGCGCTGTTCTTTCGTCTGCTCGGCCCTCCCCGGGTTTGCTGCTGGTTCTTCCCGGGTTGGCTACTGTCCCTTCCACCTCCGTGGAAGGGCGGTTCCCCCTGGCCACTTTCCCCACTTCTGCAGGGGAGCGGCACACTGCCGGCCGGCTCTCTCGGGGGCTGCACAGGTGTTCCCCTAGGTGTTCCCCTTAGATGTTCCCTGGTGCATGCCGTCTCTCTCCTCCTTTATAGTCCTCCCCCGCCAATCCCAACTCGGCTGCCCACACGCCGAGTATGCTGCTCTCCTCCAATCAGGAGCAGGATCAGCTCCTGGAGGTCATCACTCAAGTTGGCAAGAGGCAGCTGTGTAGAAGCTGTTTTCTTCTCTCCCAGCGCCATATTGTGGGAGAGCAGATGCATAGAATAAGTCTTAATTCCAGTAACTTAGTCTAGTCCGAGTTGCTCCCAGTTGCTCCCCACAGAATTTGCCTGCTTGAAATTAGATCACTTTCTCTTTCCTATTGGCACTCAAGAAAATGCAGTGATACTGCCCCATCAAATCTTTGCTGAAGTGACACTGTTGACAGCTCTGTTCTAGAAAAATCCTGTTTTAATCACATCACATGGTGGGGGTTGCTGAAAATGATTCCTGCTATCCTGTTCCCTACGGTGATCTAAAATGTCTGCCCAAGCAATCGACAAAATTATACCTTTAAGAGGGTGCAAAACAGAGAAGCGGATTGGTCTTAGCAAAATCAAATACAGAAAAATATATCAGAAGTCTTACAGCAAACTCTAGTGGCAAGGGAAGGCACAGAGCAGAAGAATCACAGAAATTCTCATATTTCATGTTCTCCCACATGCTTAAAATAGGATTTATCTATTTTATACAAAAATACTCCTTCTCTAGATATCATCTGAGTTGACACCTCTTTGTTTCTTGAAACTGCTACTTATTAAGAAATAATTGGTATATTTATGTTCTCCTGCTTATCAGATAATATCGGACGGTTTTATAGATGCATTTAAACAGGGAATCAGACAGCAGCAGACATGCCCCTGCTCTTTCTCACTACATAGGATCATCTATCTCTGGATTTTATTTTCAACACTTCTAACAAAATAAGAGAATGAGATTTTGGAGAAGCTCAGAAAAGGGATTGAGTAGGAATTAACAAGTGCCCTCCACACTGGACTCCATAGTTATACTCAATGAATAATCAACATACATCTCTCTCCAATGCACACATTGGCATGCATACACACTATAATTCAAATGTTCACAAATATGGCTGCCCTTCCCAGACCTGCACTGACATTTCTATTCGGGTGATCTCCAAAGTATCACATGCATGCATAGAGAATTAACGCATACTCTTTCAACTCACAAACCTGCTATGAATAAGCTATAGCTGCACACACACAAGCAGCACACACTGGACATATTAAGAGTTTACCACTAAGAAGATGCATTTTGATGGGAAGTAACTCATTAACAAATAGGAGGGCACATCAGATGACATTTTAAAAAAGGGAGGAGAACACAGGCAGAAAGTAGATGAGAGATGGTCAGATATATTTCCCAAGATAATCAGATAATGGGGCTGGACCTTAAGGCAGAACATTCTTCTCACTTGCTGAAATACATACAGACCATGGAAGGTATTTCTAGACTTACGCATCCTTTGGCCCTTCCTGAGAAAGATCAAAGACCTGTCGTGGATTCAGGTACCACATGAACATCTGCAAGACTTTAGTTCCCTGTAAAGGAAAAAAAAAATGAAAAACTAGGAAGAAATTTCCCAATATTAATTACTCATATAAAAAAATTTTAAAATCCTTTTAATAAGATAATATCTATTCTAAACAGTAAACCCATGGGTTTTGGCCATACATAAGTGGAATATTCAGATTAGATGTTTGTCTAACATGTGTAACTCTGGGCAAGCACCTTAATATCCATAAGCTCAGGCCCTTTTCTCTTTAATATGGGGACAAGAAAGCTTAGATCATATACTTGGGGTTTGAGGAGCACAAGCAGTAAGTGCTTCATAAGCAGTAGCTGTTTAGTCTTTTCAACATTTCATTATGTATGAAAATCCATATGGGGAAGTTACTAGTCAGTCCACGTAGTTTAACATTAGTTTTTACTTCATTGCATAGATTATTGTCTCTGCATAATACATGGCAACATTAGCTAAGTATGATTCTGTTGAAATAATTTTTAGCTGAAACAAAAGTGTCCCAGTTAATGTATATACTTATTTTATATACAAAATATTATATATCAGAAAATATATGTAATATTACATACATAAAATATTATGTATTATATTTATATAAGTATATTATATTATTGTATATTATTATTATATTAGATAATATTATATTAGATAATATTATGTATTATATTTATCCAATATAAAACATTCCTGGTTAGTAAGATCATAATTTACTTTGACATTTTTCAATATCTATCAGTTTAAAGCAAATACTTCTCTCTCACATTAAGATTTTTGGAAGTTTTAAGTAACTATGACATTTACAGAGATGATAATGATAGCAGCTAACATATAGTTGTGGAGAGAATTTCTTAATGTGGATTGAGCAAACAGGAAGTGAAAAACGGATCTTTTTTATTTAGAAGTACCAAAAGAACTTTAAAATTGAGTAGGATGCCTCAGTTTATCAATCATTTAAAATATTCAATCAGTTGATTGCTCTTTTCCAAATTTTTCTTCAATTTATAATACAATATGCTGCTTTCAAAAGTCATCTTAATATGGTAGAAATAGTATAAGATTTGAATCAGAATTTACTTGCATATCTAACTGGGTAATCAAACATTTATAATCTTATAGAAATGCAGTATATAAAATAGAAGGACATCTACCTTCCAGGGTGATTTTGTGAATGAAATGAATCAGTCATAGTTATGTACCTAACACAGTATTGGACATAAAACAGACCTTTGTAAATGTTAAGCCATTTCTTTTTGCTCCTTGTTAATCTGTTCATTAAGTTACACTTGGCAGTGTGGGGGCTGAAGTATAGTTCATAATTATCACATTGTTATGTCATTCATTACAGAGGTCAATGTTACCCTTCCGCTCCACACAGTGTCCTAACCTATAATTTAAAAGTTCTGCTTTCTATGATTTTAGGAACAACCTTCTATCCTTAAATTCACAACTAATCCTTCTGTTTCACCAAATGACATATTTTACTTCCTATCAAATACAAACATAGACTTAGACACATATTATTTATGAAATACCAGATTATTTTCTTTCTTCTCACGCTGGGTCTTGCTAACAAGTGCTGGTCAAATAATCTTTTATGTTTAGTAGTTAACACAAAAGTCATTTCAATGACCAACCAATTTATAAAACAACTGACTTTCTGGAAAATTATATTTTTCAGTTTTAGATTCCAGAGCATAATGAATTGTTGATGTTAATTAGTGCTTTGTTTCCTGAACTATTAGAAAGCATATGTCAGTTTTAGCTTCTCCTATTATGGATATTATACTAAGTAATTAACACCTTTCAAAAAGAAAAAAAAGGCATTTTCTTACCCTACAATTTCTTTAAACTATTTTACTGTTCGCACAGTCTTACTTTTGCTCATTTTTCACCTGTGCTAGGTGGAATACCTAATCATCTCAATTTATCCTTCCAAAGAAAGCATCTTATGTAAGTCTGCAAAGTTGTGCACTACACAGTTCCAGGCAGTTCCAGTTCCATTGCAGTTTATTGGCATAACAGCCCCTTGGAGTTGTGCAGGGACAGCTTATAGAGCCATGCATGGCTACGCTATCAGAGTAGACATTCAGACATAAAATACTAATTTTTCTAAAAATTAATCATCTCTTCCAAAATATGATGTTCATTAACAAAAATGGTAAATATTTTAATGAAGGCAGCTTTTTAAATCAATCCTTGTAGGTGGAGAAAAAATATCTGACTCATACATTCAAGTAAATTCTATTTGTTTGTTGTTCCTTATAGGAAAAGCTACTTTAGGGCTTTAACAGAGGTGATTTATTAAACAGAACTGAATGGTCTGAGAAATATTAATTCACTGGGAAAAGGGTAATTCTTTCTTCATAGCAGGATTAACTCTACTCATTTACACAACTGTCACTCACTAACAAATCGCAAATCCTGTTGTAGTTATTACATGTAACAGGCCAAATATAAAAGCTGCAACTTTTATGCAAGAATCTAGTTTTCTCTAAATGAATTCATGGCATCCACATCAATCTTAATATGTGCCTGTTATTATACACATTTACCTCATTGACCTCAGAACTTGCTTAAGCACTGTGAGATTGGATATTCACAGGGGTATAAAGACATTATTTCCAGCTCCAAGTAGAGGAGCGAGATTATAAGACAATACAACCTCCCAGAAAATGCTAGATTTTTCTAGAGAGAGACGAGGGCTGTGGCAAGTTGTAGAATAAGTCAAGTATGCTCAGTGCGCAAGCTTTACCTCATACAGAAGGAGTCCATGAAGTGTTTTAATCAAGACAGCCAGACTGACATTTCCATCTGTCACCACTCTAGTTACAGACAAAGGAGCTGATGGTGCAAGTCCTGGACTTATAAAGGAGCTGGGTGGCTTGGTTTGGGTACCAGGGTAGCCCAGATCCCTACCAATATTAAGACATTTATCTAAACATAACGATTCTTGAATCATCCCCAGGTTGAAAAATCTCCAGCATCATAAGTAATAACATTGATAATTAATAACTTCTTCATGGTAATTGCATGTCCAAACACTTAAACAGTCTGCAGACTCAAACGTCTCACTTGAAGTCATGTACTCATTCTATTTTCCCCTTCTCCACACCTTGCTCTAACTGGTCCCTGACTTGGACAAGCAGCCCTGGTCTGCAGTAGCCTGTTCACAGCTGGTGGTATGAACTCTGTTACCATGAGCCTGTCCACCAATCATACACTCTTCTTCATATCTCCTACAAGTCAGAATCCATAAGCTCTGATTCAGGAGCCCAACTCATGCCATTCCTTTGGCTGGGACTCTATATGAACAGCGTGGGGGTCAGCATCTGCAGCCCTCCGCTCTCAGGAGCGCCTGGTTGGAATCATGCTCTTAGCAGAACATCTGCTCACCCTGGACTTGTAAATTAAGTCTCTGTGTGATGCAATTATGAGACAGAGCAGGAGGAAAAATTGGCAAAAAAGAAGGAAACATTGAGAGGTATATGGCAAGGGTGTAAAGACTCACAGAAATATACTAGTGGGTCAGAGACATCAAAGAGGAAATAATAAGGTTTGAAGACAAAGCAGATGGAAGCATGAAATAAGGAGCCCGTTGCCCTAGTCCTCAAAAGCTTCCTACCGAGAGGAGGACTGTGTTGGGCAAACTTTATCTTCCACGTGCTACCTATTACCCAAAGAAGTCATTCAAAGCTGAAGTTTTCATCTCTGATTCCAGTCCTCATTTCCTGAAATAATTCAGCTCCCAACCATAGCAGCAATGCTGCCAGCCTCAACAGCTTTGCAAAACACCCTGTGTATCTCTACCTTGAGAATGTTGGAACAGAGACAATTGTTGTGGGTTTAGAAGAAGGGATGAAGGGATTTGGGGGCCAGCACTGTAACACAGAGGGTTAAGCTGCTGCTCATAGCACCAGAATAACATAGCAGGGTGCCAGTTGCATCCCATCTTCTCTGCTCCTGATCAGCTCTCCGCAGATGTACCTGCAAGGCAGAGGATGATGGCCTAAGTACTTGGGCCCCCAACACCCACGTGGGAGACCCAGATGGAGTACCAGGCTCCTAGCTTCACCCTGACCCAGCCTTAGCTGTTGTAGCCATTTGGGTAGTGAATCAGTAGATGGAAGATTCTCTCTCTCTCTCTCTCTCTCTTTCACTCTCCCTCTCTCCCTCTCTGATGCTCTGCCTTTCAAATTAATAAATACATCTATTTTTTAAAAAAAAAAAGGATATGGATATATTTTTAAGGGTACACAGGTAGTCAATGTATTTATTCATCTCACGGTATTCCTTCAAAATCTTGGAAATTTTCCTTACACATACAAAATACTGCAGGAAGAAAAAAGTGATAGGTAGTTTTCTTGCCAGGAGATGGCAATATAATCTAACTATTTACTGAAAGAAGACAGCAAGTTAAAAAAAAAAAGTTTGAAGCCTAAGTTTCAAAGAGGGAAACAGTTTTGCATCTAAAAGCAGATGAATGGAAAAGGTAAATTATAAAAAGGCAAAAGTCAGGATTTAACACACACACAAAAATCTCTACTGATTACAATTAAAGCCTTGCTAAGCATGGTGTGGACCTCTAAGCAGCAGTGCCCTGACCACCTGGGGGTTTGTGACAAACACAGGCTCTCAGAACCCACCTCTGATCCATTGATGCAAATTCTACTTTTTAACTGGATCCCCACAGACTGTGGGGATTAAATCAAACATTTTGGTCCTCTGCTCAAAATCAAAAGAATTTTTAAAAATTTTTTAAAAGATTTATTTACTTGAGAGAGAGAGAGAGTGAGAGAGAGAGAGAGAGAGAGAATCTTCCATCCACATCTCTGCAATGGCCACAACAGATAGGTCTGGGATAGGTAAAGTCAGGAGCCAGGAATAACATCAGATCTTCCTCATGGGTGGCAGGGGACTTGGGCCATTGCCCACTGCCTTCCCAGGTGCATTAGGAGGAAGCTGGATGGGAAGTGGAGCAGCAAGGACTTGAACCTTCACTCTGATACAGCATTGTAAGTGGCAGCTTAACCTGCTGCACCAAAATTATGGCTCCAATTTTGTTTATTTGAAAGGGAGAGAGAGAGAGAGAGAGGAGAGGGAGGAGAGGGAGGAGAGGGAGGAGAGGGAGGAGAGGGAGGAGAGGGAGAGAGAGAGAGAGAGAGAGAGAGAGAGAGAGAGGTTTCCCACCCTTTGGTTCATTTCTCCAAATGCTCACAAGAACCAGGGCTGGGCCGGGCCAAGGCCAGGAGTTAGGAATTCCTTCCAAGGCTCTCATGTGGGTAGTGGGGTCCCAAATACCTGAGCCATCATCTGAAGGCCTCCCATGGTATGCATTAGAAGAAAGGAAAAACAGAAGCCAGGACTCGAATCCAGCACTCACATATGGGATGCACTTGTCTGAAGCAGTGTATCAACCACTGCACCAAACGAACACCTGCCCCTCAAAACCAGAAGATTTTTTAAACGCAAATACTTTAAACAACAAAAACCTGGCTTCCACTGCATTTATCCAAAATCCTTGGCCAAGTTTTTAAGACACAGACCCATTTGAAGCTATATCTGTTCACATTTCTGATACCTTCAAGTGCATGCCCCACTCACCATAATGCGCTTCAAATGAATAATTTTTATCACATTTACCCTTCTATTCATATTGCTAATTATACAATTATTTATTTACTAAGCACCATGTTCTAGAAATCATACCTTCACACATGCAGCCCTGGCACTATGGAGCCCAGATCTTTTTTTTTTTTTTTTTTTTTTTTATTTTTTATTTTTTTTGACAGGCAGAGTTAGACAGTGAGAGAGACACAGAGAGAAAGGTCTTCCTTCCGTTGGTTCACCCCCCAAATGGCCGCCACAGCCGGCGCTGCACTGATCCGAAGCCAGGAGCCAGGTGCTTCCTCCTGGTCTCCCATGCAGGTGCAGGGCCCAAGCACTTGGGCCATCCTCCACTGCCTTACCGGGCCACAGCAGGGAGTTGGACTGGAAGAGGAGCAACCAGGACAGAACTGGTGCCCCAACTGGGACTAGAACCCGGTGTGCCGGCGCCACAGGCAGAGGATTAGCTTAGTGAGCCACAGAGCCAGCAGGAGCCTAGATCCTAAGAGTACATATACACATAGAGCACTTGGGTTGCGATTCACATATTGATGACTAGCATTGTGGCATAGTAGGTAAAGCCATCTTTGTGATGCCAGCATTCCATGTGGGTGCCAGTTTGAGACCTAACTGCTCCACTTCCTTTCCAGCTCCCTGCTAATGTTCCTGAAAAAAAAAAAAAGCAGATGGCCCAAGTGCTTGGGTCCCCACACGTACGTGGGAAATCTGGAAGTAGCTCTGACTCCTGATTTTGGCATGGCCCAGCTGCAGCCACTGTGACCATTTGGGGACTGAACCAGAGGATGGAAGACCCCTCTCTCTCTCTTTCGCTCTCTTTGGCTCTTCCATTCTCTGTGTAACTCTTTCAAATAAATAAATAAATCTTAAAAAATTCACATGTTACAGGTGTGGTCCAAGGGCTATGGATCACCGTGGACAAGACAATTAATTTTGAGAAAATGGTTCAGAAGATGCTACTGACTCGAGAGATGAGCAGGAATTTGCCACAAAGGGAAAGGGGACTCCTCCAGTCTGCTCAGCATACCTAAGTAGTTCCCCTCTCCAATTTCAGCTGCTTCCATGACACCATTTCCCTATCTTTCCCAAGTCACAACTTGCCTCTGAATTTCATAGCACTTGCAGTCTGATCCTCTCAGTTTAGAACTCAAAGACAGCTTATGAATGACACCTCAATTTTTTCCCACTTTCCCCCTTTGTGTCATTAACAAATAAAATATCCTTAGAAAAATCACTTAAGCTTCTTTGATCTGTTTTCTATTTATTAAAATAGATAGCAACATTAGATGAACTCTGAAGTCCCCATCATTAATAATTTACACAGAAATTGGAACAGGAATGGTTGATTTCTTATCTGAATAAACAGCTCATAAGTTTCTTTATGCCCTTGGGGGAAAAAATCTAATAATGACTTAATAATTGCATTTTATATATAGGTAGTCGTAATGAAATATATTTGGTGCTAATTGACATGTCATCTCAGGTAGCCACCTGGGGTCACTAGTTTATCTCAGCTGCACGGTTCCGAGGTTCTGAGCTGCATTCTTGATAGGCTACAGGGAAACCAACTCAAAAGAGTGGATATGGCTCAGCGCAACTTGAACCTCATTCCCAAGAAATCCATCACCAGGTCCTCCTCTTGTGATGTCTTAGAATAGCTATCATCACAATATGAAAATCATGGCTCACTCAGAAACACAGCATATAGAGAAGCAGTCATTTCTATGTTTACAGCAGTTCTTTTCCCTGTTCTCTGTGAAATTGTCATAAATTTTTAACATAAATTGCCAAAAATTTTGAAGACAGAAAAGAAGGGATAACTCAATTTTAAGTCATAAACTTCCATAATAGAAACTTTAGTATAATTAATGCATTCAGCATCTTGGACTATTGAGTCTATTCTAATTATTTTACTCCCCTCCGTATGTATGGCGTTAAAAGAATTTAAAATCCATAACTACTTATAATGACATTTCAGACTCTTGGGACCAGCTCCATGGCTCACTTGGTTAATCCTCCACCTGTGGCACCGGCATCCCATATGGGCGCCAGTTCTAGTCCCGCTGCTCCTCTTCCAGTCCAGCTCTCTGCTGTGGCCCATGAGGGCAGTGAAGGATGGCCCAGGTGCTTGGGCGCCTGCACCCACATGGGAGACCAGGAAGAAGCACCTGGCTCCTGGCTTTGGATCGGCATAGCTCCGGCCGAAGTGGCCATTTGGAGGGGTGAACCAACGGAAGGAAGACCTTTCTCTCTCTCTCTCTCTCTCTCTCTCTCTCTGCGTCTCCTCTCTCTGTGTAACTCTGACTTTCAAAATAAATCTTAAAAAAAAAAAAAAAGAAATTTCAGACTCTCGTCTCAAACTGTAAAAACTGGACATAGAAAATATTTTCTCATTCAAACTCATATGAAAACAGAAAACCAAAGCCCACGAACGGCACTGAAAAGAAGTCTGAGAGAGTGGTGCAAGAATTGGATGAAGAGACAAAGACAGACCTGGATTCTGAAGCCCACTCTGTCACCTGAGATATGCCATTAAACTTACCTTTCTTAAAGGTATTTTTCTATTCTCAAATGAAATAAATATTAAGTACCCTAAAGGATTGGGGCAGGGACCAAATGAAACCTTTACAAGCTGATATTTTCTATAGCATTTGTTGTATCATTGTTAATGATTGTCCCAACGACAGGAACAGAGGTAGTTAAATCTATATTACAACAGGAAGAAATAAAGATTAGTTAGTAAAGCACTTCCTAACTACAGGCTGAGTATCCATATTGTGAATGCTTGACACTAATAGTTTCGATGTCAAATGTTTTAAACTTGGGAATATTTACATATATACAAGGATGCATTTGGGAGTTTGTGCTCTGAGTCTAAACATGAGATCCATTTATGTTTTATATACACTTTATACACAAGATCTGAAGGTAATTTTATAAAATATTTTTAGTATGCCTTACATTTTGGCTGCAATGTGGCACATGAGACCATGTTGAATTTTCCACTTGTGGCATCCTGTCTGAAAGTTTCAGGTTATAGAGCATTTCCAATTTTGGATTTTGGGATTAGGGCTGCTCAACCTGTGTGAGAACTGAGAAACCTGGAAATATATTAACTAAGAGAAGCCCTGAAATGACCTTTCTTGAAAATCTGTAAGAAAAGGTCAGTGGCTGGGTGTTGAGGGAGCCTCTGATGCAGTCAGTTATGGAAACAGAGGGATAAATCACAGAACCCAGCACTATCGTGTGCAAGGTTATCTCCCAATACAGCAACAGTGAACTTGTCCTTGAGAAGCCAGTTGTCTTCCAGGACTTGGGGTCCTAGCGGTACTATTTTAATAGGTGCTTCAAAAATCATAGAAACTTCAAAGTTAAACTCATGAAAAATGACTCACCTGGTTGCCTCCACTCTTCGGATTCACAAATACAAGCAAGGGTTTCATGAGAGGAGAAGAGATAGGTTTTATCACAAAAGGACGACCTTTGTTTTCCTGCTGGAAGAAGGCAGCAGCACAGTTAGGACACAGATCCACAGTCTATAAGACAGCCCCAGAACAAAGAAACTGGGAAACCCTCATCACCACCCTACTCTTCAAAAATACCCTTTGTTTCACAGGGCTGACGTTTTACAGGACCTTCCATAAAAACCTTGGAAGAAAGTATCTCCAGTTATCATTTGCTCCAAAGACATAGCCTTGCTTTTGGTTTTACTCTGTATACGCTAAGCATTCTGGAAATGTTAGCTGTTATCTTCATCTTTATCATCTTTGGGAGACTGTTTCCAATTGCCAGGTGAATGCAAATGCTCTGGCTCTGACCAGGCAGGAGGTTAGATATTTGTTTTGTTATAAGCAGTTACTTTTATTTGTTTTGAAATAGAATGGATTCCAATGGGGTTAGAGTCTAGTGAACAATGGTAGGAGATACATCAGAAGAACAAGCTTGGGCCAGATCACATAGGACAAAGCTAAGGCAAGGGAATTTCATTTCCTTGGAACTTAACTCTGAAACACATACTTCAGTTCCTCTTTTGCTGGCTTTTCTTTTAAAGCTTGTTCTCTTCTTCTTCCGATTTGAAGCTTTCAGGGAGTTCTGTAGGGAAAGAAGGAAACACCTGAGTTCAGAGGCCGGCAGCCCCGGAGTTGTGCCATGCAGAACCATGTAGAAGATGACGGCAGCACATGCTGTTCGCCTGCATGCTTCTCATGCTTTGACACTTCCAAGCCACTGCTCATGGGTAAGCCACAGACAGAAATCAGTCGAGTGCTTCAAGAGTGAGCAACTGACTCCCCCCCAACATGGAGAGGCAGGGAGTGAGAGCCCCAGAGGCTCTCATGGACTCACGTAACAAACATGTTATACCTGCCAACCCTCCCAGTAAAAATGGAAGAATCCCAAATTCTCTGAGGGGCTCCAGTCTCCCGCCCAACCAGGTCCGTCTCCCGCCCAACCAAGTTCAAATTCATCTCCTGGTATGGAGATCACCTATGTGGAAATGTAAAAAAGGAGGCCGTTTTTCATGTTTACTTTTTCTTTTCTCTGTTTATTTTTGTAATGGTCTTTTCTTGCAACAGTCATAAAATTACTCTTGACCCCAGTGAAAGTTTATGAGCCAACTATGGTATCAGAATTGATGTCTAACTTTTTAAATGCAGAGGTAAGACTCACCTTAGTCACTTATAATAGCAGAGTGACAAGCATTGGGTTTTCTTTCGTGAATGAACCAATGGTTGAATAAGTCTTCCCTCCCTGGGTATCTCTGATCTAACTTCTTTGAAATACAGTGACCCCTAAACCTACTTTCCATGTCTTCCTAGGAACTTTAGAGCCACAAAATTGTGATTACTCCAACTAATGGATTGCTCCATTTACTGTTAGTATTTGATACAGTCGCCTTTGAGGGGAAACTCTAATATGGAGAACAGTCAAGACTCATTGACGACAAAGCAAAAGTAGACTTCATTAAGGACAAGTCAATAAAATAGACTGCATCTTCACAAGGGCAAGCTATTACTGACCACATAATAGGTGTTTAGCAAAGTGCTGAAAACCTGAAATGCAGAATTCTTAACTTAGACGTTTATATTGGTATACACACATATATTGCTTGAACAGTTAAAAGTTCCCCATTTGAAGAAATTCCAATTGTTATCATCTATTCTTCTGCTTTTTAGTGTGTACTTTTTTTTTTTTTGCAGAGCATTCAAAATAGACTTTAGTCTAGAGTACATGTTGTAGTGCTTCCAAACCAGCAAGAGGCAGGCTATTAAGCTTTTATTTCACATTTACTTGGATGGAGAAATACATAAGTTGACTTGTGGCCACACTGCTTTGTGGTCTCACCCAGGGTGAGGGAAACTTCTAATAATGAACATCTGTGCCAAGGCTTTCTTCAACCACCAGATTAACAGAAAAGTGTCTTTGGGGTCTCAGATTCTCACGAGAAAAGAGATTCAGGAGCTCACAGATGGTCTGGACCCCAGGTGAGTCCTCACCACTCACTGCTGACTCTACTTAGCCTGAAATAGATAACAAGGCTTCTAAATTCCTATTAAACAGATCTTTTAACATATCCCTGTCTTGTGTACATGATGGAAGTATCTTCCATATTTGGATAAATTTTAGTTTGCTTTAAAGGAAAGAAAAATGATCTGGAGTCTTTAAAGTTTAATCAAATGATTCAAGAAGAATGCTGGAGACTATTGGACTGGCACCTATGTGGTATCAATTAACGACACTCTCAATGGTTCTGAACCATCCCCGCACAGGAGCATGACCCAGGGAGCTTTTACAGAATGTCATACTTATTTGATCTGTTTGGGGTGGAGCCCAGAAGAATAGTTTGTAAAATCTCCCAAGGCAATTCTACCATGCAGCCAGGCTGAGAACCAGTTTGAAGGACAAAGAGCAAAGTAAAGAGTCATTTAGACCAGGGTAGAGTAAGAGGTCTCTTAAGAAAAGAAGCATGCATCTGTGAGACATGGTATGAATTCTGAATCTCTCTATTCCTATATCTGTGACCTTGGTCAAGTCAGTCAAACTTTGGAAAGAACAGTTGCTTAATATTAAAATGATGGTAGTAATACCTACCTCACAGGGCAGTTGTGAAGTTTAAAGAGATAAGGTATGTGAAGCAGTTAGCTTGGTATCCATCCAGTGATAAGCACTTCAATAAATCTTGGTTGCCTCGTTCACAGATGATTATCCCCAGCACCTAGCACAAATGCCTGGCACATAGTATGCACTCAAATCATTGTCGAAATAATGAATAATTATTAGATTCACAACACTCACTGGACCCTCCTGGTTTGGGAAATTATGTTTAGGAAGTGAAGGCTTGCCTCCTTACTTCTCTGTAGTTCGAGCTCATCTATTGCCAAGAACAATACAGGACACAAAGTGCTTGCAGGAGCATTTTATGGACTTTGGTTCTAGACAGGACTCAACAATTAATCTCTAAGAATTGGGTCAGGTTAAGATTGTTTTCTGAACTTGTCTGAGCAGGGAACTCATAGTATTTCAGGTGGTTTTGATCATCAAACAAGTTTCGGGGACACAGTTAGAAAACACATCAAAATAAAGGTTGATGTCTGAAAACAGAGCAGGCAAGGAACTCAACTCAAATAGGGAGCACATACACAAAACAGCCTTTTAAAACACAGAAGTGCCAAGTAGAAGTGATTCTAAGGCCTTCTTACTTCACAGGACGAGTGGTAAAAACCAAGCACAGCAGTTGACTTACAGTACCTGGGCACCTCTATGTGAGATCTGAGTAAGCTTAGAGCCCTACGGATAGGCAAACAGCAACAAATAAGTAGTATAGAATTTCCCATCACACCACAACATTCCTGAACCTCCATTGTATTTATGTGTAAATATGTATCTCTGTCTAAATATATAACTATTTTTAACAGGCAGCATAATTCAGTGAGGAACAGATGGATGTGAAGGCGAATTGGGAATGTGTTTTGGCCATGACAAGACATTATCCTTGCTAATCTGCAGTATTGCTTACACCGCCTAGGTCAGCGAAACAAAACAGCTTGCTTTTCAAAAATGTAGAAGTTATGCCAAGAAATTACTGTATATTATTGTTGGTAAGATAGTCAAGAAACCTGTAATACTCATTCCATGTTCTGTAACAAAGCATCTCTGTTATATCAAGGGCAGCTAAGAGCAACAATAAGGATCGTTAGATCAATGTTATCAAACCAGTGGAAACGTTATACCTTCACTGATATTTTTGCATTTTTCTGATTCTAATAATCAACCCCTGTACTTAGTGTACCCAACATTTGGTTAAAGACCTAAAACAGAGGTCTTAAGGTTTTCTTGTACCTGGTATCAGGGCGATCTTACTTTACTACAGAAATAATCCCATTACCAAAATCCTTATCATAGTATGACTCCTTCCTGGACTGTAAAGAAATACTTAGGTATGAATTCACTCAATTGTGAACGAAACTCAACTACCCTCATTAATCTTCAGGGATCTTCTCAAGGTATAGGCTCACAAACAACTGATTATAATAACAGATCTAAAAAGAAGATATATCACTTCATTTTCCAAAAGAAATCTTCCCCACCAGAGACTACACAAAATTCTAATACATAATAGGAAAGGAGAGGCATGATTTCACCCATTTAAGAGCATTCTGCTTCTGCCTGCACCAGGGGCACCACGGGAACAAGGCTGTTCTGAGATGGACAAGAATAAAAAAAACTCATTCCAAAAATTAAGGACAGGGTTTCAATGAATGCCAATTAAGCCCATTTAGCTAAATCACAAGAGGAGCTAATTAACCTTTGGAATTCACCAAAGGAAATGACTTGGGCAATTTTGAGAGATACTGTTCATCACTTTGGAAAATAAGAGATTGTAAGTCATGTGTTTCTAGCATTTTAAGATAATTATGCAATCATAAGGTTTTTTTTTTAATGGATTAGCACAAAGAAAACTTACACAGGACTAGGACAGAATGAATGCAGCTTTATTTTTATAAAGAACATTAGAAACCACATAAATGTCTATGAGTTGGGAAGTGAATAAATAAACTGTTACATATCCACAGCATGGGATATGTACAACAGTTTCAAAAACTGCGTTAAGAGCAAATGTACTAATATAGCCTTTTCCCCATGATTCATATTTTTACTAGGAAGGACAAGTTTTAAAACATGATGTGTAGAATTATGCAATTTATTATAAATATACTATTATATGCAAAATAGTTCTGTATCTCTTTTAATGGGTGTATTTCCACGCATGTCAAAGCATCATAAGAACTATTTATAAATGTGTATATGTATATATGTATGTATCAATGAGAAGATACTTATAATCTTCAGCCTGGGTGAAAGGAGACTTTCTTATCTGAAAAGTATAACTTATTACATGGAGAATATGTATTATTAATTATGTCATTACAAACTAAATAATAAATTAAAAGACTAAGAACATTCATTCTTTGAAGGAGGCCTTATTCCAACTTACTACCATGAGTCACAATGGACTGTACTCAGGACTTATTTTATATTCTTCCTAGAAGACTACTGAAATCCTCTGAGGTTAGTAGGAAAATTACAAGGCAGTAACAATTTGGAAAAGTCAGTGGATCAAGTGCAAAATCTTTTTCCAAAAGTTGTCTTGTCCCTTGACATATAACTTCTGAGAAAGCTTTTTCACTCTGGTCAACTAGACTCCACAAAAATTTCACATAACACAGGTCTTGCTCCATCAGCTCCAAGTGCTTGCATTAGTATTTGAACATCTTTAACTCAACTTACTCAAAATATTTTCTTCTAATATTTTCAGACCAGAAGAGAAACACTGAAATCTGTAACATTAAATATAACTTGGACAACAGATTCAGGCTTGGCTTTTAAAATCTGGTTTTCCTTTTATTTGAATTCCTTTAAATCATCTACCTTCTTCACCTTTCACTTCTTCCTCTCTCTAAATAACTTGATGATGAAGCCCAGCAAATCATCCAGGCAGCCCTAATTCCCTTCAGTGTCCAAGTTTCACATAGCCCCAGTTCCCCAGCTGCTTGAGGAATAAGTCATCTTTTAAGAGAAGGAAAATATGTGGTTTAATTCCACCTCTTTAAACACCCCTTTTCCTGGCCGTAATACACGCAAACAGATTTTCTCTACTCCTCTCTGGAGACATTCGTTTAGACACAACATGTGAATAAAGCTCACTTTATTTGATCACCCATCTTACTGTTCTCAACATGTTCTAACAAGGTGCACCGCTCTTCCTCATGTCTCTTCCCAATGGCAACACCCACATCCTCCCAGGTAAACCATGAGTGGTGTATTTTCCAAAAAATCTACCCTGATTCCTGTGACTGAAATTGTTCAATCCTGCTTCATATTTCCACTGTGGTTTAAAACTTAGGTAGTACTTACCATTCTCCACCTTGGTTGGATAGACCCCTGACTGGCCACTGCGAATTCCACCAACCTGTCTGACCCCTTCC